TTTTTTTTTTTAACCCTGAGGTTTTTATCCTTAATGTTAATGGCCTAATAAGTTGGCCTTATAGGAAGCTTTTATTTTTCTTCTAATGAACAATTAAAGACCATTTTGGGGGGAAAAAAAGTTTCTCCCAAGCAAAGAGAGAAGTGCATAGGAGCAGATTTTAAAGAGGACCCAGGGCTTTCAGATGTGCTTTAAAGGTACGACTTTCAAAAGAACATCTGGCCTAGCTCCCAGGGGCTTATGCTTGAGTATTAGGGGAAGAGGACTGTGATCTCAAATGTGTTAATTTAGAAGCTCCTTTAGAAATATAGAGGCTTTGTACTTTGTTGCTTAGATAACAAAGGGTATGTCACACCTTGGATGAAGATTCCTTCTTCCCGCTTTGCAGGTACTCCCCAAACCCAGCAGTCTGAGAATGAAGCAGAAACATTCGACTAGAAGCAGGAGAGGACACCCTGATTCAGCAAGCATGGCTGACAGTAGGAAATCCCCAGTTTTGACGTGCAGTGACTTAATGAGACACATCGAGGGAGCAGGGAAATGGAAGACCCGATGGTAAGTGAGAGAGATCTAGTTCTAGTATGTACACAGACATTAGTTGAGAAGAAAATACAGGGGAGAAATTTTACTGCTGCTGCAGGCTGTTTTCATCCAAGCTAGTGCGTCTGGAGGAATTACAGCATCTGTTGTTTTTACTGTTATTGAGTATGATTATTATTCATATATTAAGTGTTTTTCCTCCAATGATGTGACAGAATAGCACACTCTGACAATTCTCTTATTCATGAAAGGAATATGTTTACCAGCTCATTTCCCTTTGCTTGGGCTAAGATAAAGAAAACAAAATTGGATCTATCTTAAGGAAACAAGGATGAATGATAGCTTATCAGATCAATAAAAAATTGTCACCATTTGGTTAAGAATATGCCCAATGGACAAAAATTTGCTTGGCACTTCTAAGTTTTTATGTTTCCATAATATGCTACATAAGTGCTAAAATTTATTTATTGCTATCAAGTTAGAGGAAAATGAAAGTTATCTCATCAGTACTATAGAATTGTATTCCAATATGTTTCATCACCCGAGGGACACTCCTCAGGCTGTGAAATTCTCAATAAAATTGTAAACCTCATTGAATTGTCTCGCACTGAGTTGAAAATCAATAAAACTACAATTTCATTGGCAAGTGCTAGCCAGCAAAAATGGGAATCACATTGATTTACATTATCATAGTTTAATATCCTTTAGCAGACCTTGTCCCCTAAGTTCACTCCTCAAATAACTTTCTTCTATCTTTAAACTTACCCTTTCTATGGGACTTTCCTTCTCAGGAATCTCATCTATTTCCATGCTTTAAGCATCAATGAATCCTGAAATTGTATCTCTAGACCTGCATTTCAGCCTCTTTGGCAATCTGCCTTGGATATCCTACAAGGAACCAAAACTTGGCAGGTTAAAGAACAAATCCATTCATTTCCTTTCCTCAGTATTTCCCCAAATGTGCTATTCCTCTTGACTTTTTCATTTCTGTAAATAGATCTGGTGTATTAAACTTGGAGCTATTATCCCATTTTCTTTATATTTAATCAATGCAAATTCTATGTCTACAATGCATCAATATTTTATTCCCACATTTCCATTTTTAGTCCATTTCCTCTACTGCAGAGCCTCCTAATTCTTAAATTCTTTGAAAAATCCTTCTAAATGTAACACTGAAGTTCACTTTTCTTACTTTCTTAATTCATCTATAATGCCCCACTGCTAATCAGTCTCTCTAAGGTGCAGCCCCTCTGCTACTCCAAACCTTATCTTTGGGGTTCATTTCAAATACAATTAACTCCATTATGAGTTTTTCCAGTGTCATAACCATATATAGTCTTTTGGTCATAGGAATTTCCTTGTAAATTTTACCCTTCAAAAATTGTCACCCATGATTAATTCTTTTTGAAATGTGATCTGTTTTGTGTTTGTTCCTCCATTTTCTCCCACCAGACACAAAACTGAGTGTCTTCTGATGCTGAGGATGGTGAGTTATTCACCTTTCTATCCTAGGCTGTAATTTGCACATAAAGGATGAACAGTAAAGGCTGCTAAATTTAATCAGCAGCTTAATGCAGGCTCTTTGAATACACAATTTATTTTCTAGCAAAAATAAGTATCATATTTTTCTTCCAGTGGTTACACAATTGAAGAATTACCTAGAGCCACATCAATACCTGAGAACACAAATGCTCACAAATAACTATTGATATTCTTTTGCTTTGATTTATTGGAAAACATTTTTTTGTTAGCCTGAACCAAGGAAAACTTTAAAGTCCTCTGTTAAAGTAAAGAGCTTGTTTAAAATATTGGACCAGAGCTGGAAATACTGGACTAGAAATTCCTGCCATTAATAGACTTGGTATAAGTGCCTTACAATGAGATGCCATGTATCTTTCAACTGAATTGATTTGGATGGTTGTTGATACTGAAAATAATATATTTTGGGTAAAATTAAATGAGACATTCCAAGTTTGTCTTAAAATTCAGTAAAACCTTAATTTGCAGAAAGAAAAAATACAGAGTGATACATAATTTATATGGCTAATAATTCTTTAGCTAAGTATTACCCACATTTGCTGTTTTCTATTTCTCTTTATTATGCAGTCTAAACCAACTTGCACGGTTTTCCCGATAGCTAACCTTGAACATGTGCTAAATCTTGCAAGTATATCTGTTATGAAAATAAAAATAAGTACAGTTCATTTAAGATGATCTCCTATATTTTCTTGGCCATTTTTTGGATTGCATGATTCTGATAGTACATGCTCTCCCTCAGCTTCTGTTTCAAAAAATTGACGTTAAATATACCCTGAAGCTCTGGTGCTAAAACAGACAATTCAGCAATTAAAGAGACAGAAAATGGAGATAGTATATTTACTTTAACACTGCTCCATTATTCTAAACACAGTAATGAAATATTTTAGCAAGAGTTTCCAGATGCAATATGAATTTAATTTTCTTCTCAGAAAGGGGAACTTGTTTATAATTCACCAGAGAAGACTGGGCTTATAAGGTATTCAATTCTTCTTACTGTGATAAAATTGGGGCACAGAGTAATTTATTTTCTCTTTCCATGTAGTAGGTACACAGAAAGCTAAATAATTGAAGTAAACATTAATTTGGGTGAGTTACATATTGTTACTTTGGGAACTATAGAGTCTTGGTGGTTTCAATAGTGTAAATCAGAATCTCTCTCTGTTTGCCCCTTTACACATGGTCATTTGTGAGTGGGCGGTGTGTGGACAGGGAGGCCGGGTAACAGGAAACAATGTCCACCAGCAGTGAGGCTAAACATACCACTTACATGTGAGACGTGCTTTTCAGGGAGTTGTGCTACATCTTTGCTTTACTGACTGCATAAGCCTAGTGCAGGGGGTTTGGAAGATACGGGTCACATCATCCTTAAAGGGCTGTTTTTGCCCAGTGTTGTCCTTTATTCATCACAAAATTGCAGCAGATATTTGGGAAACATTTCTATTTAGCCATTTCCATTGACACCAAGTTTAGGGTGAGTGGTATTGCTGAACATGTAGAGTTTAATTATGTTTTTAAAAATACTGTTTTTCTTATTATGAAAGTAATGGATATAGAAACCAGGGAATTTTTACAAATATGTAGAAGGAAACAGTTCTCATCCCATTGATAACATTGCACTGTGTTTTATTCTTTTTATTCTGTATGTGCATTCATATATGTACATAACCATATACATATGCAGAGTCTTGCATTTCAATATATGTATGCATACATATGGTATTCACACATACATGTGTATATGTATGTGTTTGAATCTTGCATTTTCATGTTACATTGTCATTGGAAAGTTTCCCATGGAGTTAATCATGAAAAAGCATTATATTAATGGCTGCTTTACAGTCCAATGATAAATACACTCTAATTCATCTCTCCATTCTCCTATTAGGAATCATTGATATTTCCTGTTTTTAATATCATAGATTCAGTTGTAATGAATTAACTTCTAAGGAAAGTTAGTTTTATGTAGACTATAGTGAACTAGCTTCTTTCAGTTTACCATATTCTACCTAGTTTACCAGTTTCACAGCAGACAGTCCTTGTTTTATTTAAACATACTGAATATTCTTTATGATGTGTTACTTACAAATGAAATCACTTGCTTCTTTTAAAACCATAGATTCTTTTATCTCATTTCTCTTTATTTGGCTGTGTTTTTCTGACTGTTTAATACTTTCTGTCTAAAACGTCTTCTTTCTAGGCTTCCATAACACTGTACTATCTAGGATGGCACCCGACATCTATGGCCAAGTTTCGTTTTCTCTCCCTCACCCTTGGAGCAGCACCCGGGGTGCAGTAGTCAGTCTTCTCTCTGGCTTTTCTCGCTTGAGGAACTCATTCATTCTGAAGACTTCAATAACCAATGCCATGTGGCTTGAACCTATTTTTGTTCATACATATCTTACCTCTTATGACTGGGAAAGATTCTTGAATCATAGAATATGCCATATGATTTCCCCCTTATTCTGTACACTAAGTACTATGCTATTAGCACTACTACTGCTACTGTTAATAGTATTCTCATTGGCCATTCACCATATAGGCCAAGTATTTTGCAAAACACTTTTTAATATTCATCCAAATTAACCAGCACAAAATGTCTATGAGATGGATATTGTTATTCTTATTTCACAAATAAATAATGTGAGTTTCCAGGGTGCTAAGTATTTTGCCAAGGTCTACATGACCCTAAAGATCAGATATAACCTATCACACTATTCAGCCTCATCATAAATTATAAGTCATTAATGCACACAGAGTGGTACCATCTTTACAAATAGCTTTGTTGTCAGTCAGTTGTTTTTTTCTTAATAACTAATACAAAATTCAAAATAGAGCTTAGCCATGGAGTCAACAGTGGTCCTGAGAGAAAGCAATTCAGAATGTGAACCTAAAATGTGAGATGATAAATAGTTCCCTTGAAAAACTTGCATAGTTCCTTAATCCCTTACCTGACTGCATCCCTCTCCAGCTGGCAGAGCTTGCTTTTGTTATTCCATTCTGTTCTTTCCTGACCCCCTCAGCCAGTGGCGCCTGGATAGTGGATATGGGGTTGGGCATAAAGGATTTGTTGGTGAGTAAACAACACAGCCACAGCTCTGCAGGCATGTGGGCTATGAGGTCAGCATTGTTTGTAATATAAATCCATTCCTGGAAAAGGTTTCTGTCTTGGGCTATGCAGCTCCACATTCATCTCCTCTGTTTACTTCTATGGCTCCAGGATGCCCCTCTCCTTTTTCCACTTCTGTTTGTTTGTTTGTTTGTTTTACCAAAATTTCTCTCCTAAAGAATATCCTCTCATGGTTATTCTCCTGATTGAGGGAGAAAATTATGGCTCCTTTGAAGTTTTTCTTCTAGGCAGGTTTCCTTTCCGATTAGAAACAAAGAAACAACACAATTTAATTTTTAAAAAGTTGTGTCCAAAATTCTCCTTTAGGAATGAGGAAGTCCTAAGTTACAGTTCCACAGTAGTGCGGTCC